CCTCCCAAAGTGCTGGGATTACAGGCTTGAGCCACCGCGCCCGGCCAGAATCCTCATTTGTAAAATAAAGTTAATAGAAGCCACCTGTAGAACTGTTTGTGAGGATTAATGAATCAAAATGGATGAAGCACCTAGAACAGTTCATGGCTCAAAGTAAGGGCTTCATAAATGTTTAGCTATTTTTATGAGCAGGTCAAGAAAGAAGGCATTGGTCAACACAAACAGTTGTACAGACACTGATTGTTAAATTGTAGCCAGAGGTAAGAGTTGACTTAAAAGGGAGAAGCCGAGGCAAAACTAATATAAGTAGAGAGCTTACTCAGGCCACATTTGAGGGCTGCAACCCAGAAGCATAGATTTAAGTTGCCTGAATATACACTCCAATTTGCAGTAGTTGCAAGTGAATTTTTAAAGGCAAAAAGAGGGAGACAGGGAGTGGGCTAAGACAAAGTTGTTGGTCAGGAATTCCCATTGGTTTACAGAAATAACACTGATTAGCTATACACTATGAAGCATTAGGGTGTGGGTTATGGTGTCCCATGTGGCATTATTAGATTAACTTATAGCTGCCTGTGGCAATAGCAAGCCATTTCAAGAAATGAATACGTAGCTCAAAGCGGGGAGTAGGGCATGATTGTGAGACAGTCAAATGCCTGGGCATATAAAAAGAGATCCCCGGAGAATCTTCGACCTGCCCCACAAGCGTTTACATTAGATACTTTTGTGCAGATGAGGGAACCTGCCCAGGACCTTGTCTGAGCCTGCCCACATGCACCCTGGGGGAAGGGGCGGAGCCATGGGCAATGGGAGGAGCCTGGCCTCTTCAGTTCCTGTATGGTGGCCTGGGATTCAATCTGTGAGGTGGGGGGCCTGTTAGCAGGACTCTATCTCGCTTTGCTGTTTTTTCCATTTTTCTCTTCACCCAATACAATCCTGCTCTACTCACCCTTTAATGTGCCTTCGTGCCTAAATGTTCCTGGTTGTGTGAAAAGAACCCATTTACGACTGAACTAAGGTGCAAAATTCTGCGACAGTTGCTGCCTCGTTTTAATGCCTCTCTGGGCCCAATAATTAAAAGGACCTGCGTTCCTCAGATAAAAGTTCTTTTCTTTTCTCATAACTTAATATTTTTCTCAGTTTTAAGAAGCCATAGGAAAGACGCATTTCTGTAGGAAGTAACTGCATCTATAGCCCAATCTGGATGCAGTTCTTTCCTTCTTCTAAGCCTTAGGGTATGCTTCCTCTATGGATGGAAAAAGTCAAACTCTGTAAACTATTTGAGGAGATTTATGCTGAGCCAAACAGGAGTGACCATGACCCATGACACAGCCCTCAGGAGGCCCTGAGAACATGCACCCGAGGTGGTAAGGGTGCAGCTTGGTTTTATACATTTTAGGGAGGCATGAGACTTCAATCCAATACATTTAAGAAATACATAGGTTTAGTTCAGAAAGGAGGACAACTGGAAGCAAGGAGTGGGAGTGGGGTGCAAGGGGGTGGGGGAGGCTCCAGTCTATAGATAGATTTAAACATTTTTTGGTTAACAATTGGGTGAGTTTCTCTAAAGACCTGGGATCAATAGAAAGGAAACGTCTGGGTTAAGATAAAGAATTGTGGAGACCAAAGTTCTTATTTGCAGAGGAAGCCTTCAGGTAGTAGGCTTCAGAGAGAATAGGTTGTAAAATGTTTCTTATCAGACTTCAAGTCTATATTGATGTTACTACCAGAGAGGTATAATGAGGCACATCCGATACCCACTTCCTGTCATGGCCTGAACCAGTTTTTCAGGTTAAATTTTAAGAGTATTCTGGCCGAGGAGGAAGTCCGTTCAGATGGTTGGGGGGGTGCTTAGAATTTTATTTTTGGTTTACACCTCGATTGTCTAGAACAGTGCTTCTTACACTTGAATGGTACATAAATCACCTGGGATTGTCATTAAAAAGAAAATTCTCTCTCAGTAGGTCTGGACACAGCTGAGATACAGCATTTCATCCAAGCTTCCAGGCGATATTCCTGCTGCTGGTTCACAAATACCGGTCCCAGGGACCTAGCACAGTCCGCAGAACTTCCAGTGATGACGGAAATCTCTACCTGAGCCACTAATCATATGTGACTACGGACCAATTGAAATGTGGCTATTGAAAACTGAAGTTTTCATTGCATTAAAATGAAGTATAGGCCGGGCGCAGTGGTTCATGCTTGTAATCTCAGCACTTTGGAAGGCCGAGGCAGGTGGATCACAAGGTCAGGAGATCAAGACCATCCTGGCTAATATGGTGAAACCCCGTCTCTACTAAAAATACAAAAAATTAGCCGGGCATGGTGGCGGGCCCCTGTAGTCCCAGCAACTTTGGAGGCTGAGGCAGGAGAATGGTGTGAACCCGGAAGGCGGAGTTTGCAGTGAGCCGATGTCGCGTCACTGCACTCTAGCCTGAACGACAGAGGGAGACTCCGTCTCAAAAAATAATAATAATAATAATAAAATAAAATAAAACGAAGTATAAATAACTACGTATGGCAAGTCACTACCTTACTGGACAACACAGCTCTAGACTTATGCCCAGAAGGTCCAGCTCATAATCTGGTTTCTAATTAGAGTCACAGAACAAACCATGTTCAGGACCACATATTACATCTTAGATAGCAACGAGGACTCAGCAAAAAGGTGTGTACAGCTCTACCCAGACCCTCTGCATACCCAGAGCATACAGTCAACACATGTGCTCTGATAATCTGTAAATGTCAGTAAAATAACTTTCCTATTTGCAGATAAACTTCCTGGTAGAGCTGTCTGACTGAGTTCCTTCCCTCACCTCTGGACCTGGGGCTAGAACCACTGTCGTAGTCTGTGTGTTTGTAAAGAAAAAATAAAAACCAGGTATTTAATTAACATTTTTTCTGTGATCTCCTCAGCTCCATAATTTTTACTTCTCAATTGTTTTCTTTGCATGCGTTTAGGGCATGCCCTTGATACCCACCAACAACATAAAAACAGGCATTCTCTGCACTTAGAAAATGGAAAGTTTGTAAAATTGAGACACGTTAAAAGATCTTTATCTGACTACATTGTGAAATAATAATAAAAGAACTTGGAATGTTTGATATTCAGGAATTTTTTTCGGGTTGAAAATTATTTCCAAGTGTTTAGCTTTCTTCTGGGTTGTTCCAAACAATCTTTGTGGTTTCTTTTGGTTTTTGTTTTGTTTTGTTTGAGACGGGGTCTTGCTCTGTCACCCAGGCTGGAGTGCAGTGGCACGATCTTGGCTCACTGCAACCTCCGCCTCCTGGGTTAAAGCGATTCTCCTGCCTCAGCTCCCCTTTTATATTTTTAGTAGAGACAGGGTTTCGCCATGTTGGCCAGGCTGGTCTCAAACTTCCCATCTCAGGTGATCTGTCCGCCTCGGCCTCTCAAAGTGCTGGGATTACAGGTGCGA